GACCCAAGCTAGTGAGAGATCACTGACTCAGGTCTGACAAATGGGGAACGTGCATAAGATAGAACTAGATTCCCTTAATATAGGTGACAATGTGTGTTGGGACAATATATGAGGCAGTAGCAGTGGGTCCAAGATCTACCACTAATGCACAAACTGACTCAATGGAGCCCATTCTATATGGAGAGATACCTTGCCTAGCCTAGATACAGGGGTGTGGGAGTGGAGAGGTGCCTTTGTCCTGCCTCAATGAGATGATGGAGCAGACTTAGTAGACTTCCTAGGGGAGGCCTTACCCTCTCCTAGGAGCAGATGGGAGGTGGGGGGATGGGGAGAGTGGGAGGAGAGGAGGGAAAGGGAACTGGGATTGGAATGTAAAAAATAAATTAGTAATAATTTTAAAAAATGGGACTTGATCATACCAGACTATGTAGCAGCAGCACTGTGGAGTACCCATCATGTACTAAACTGGTATAGTAGAACAAAATGTGGGCTCTCCTTTCAAGAATGTGAGGGGGTCAGGGTAAGCAAAGCTCCTCAGGAAGACAAGTTCTTCCCAAAACACCTAAATTTCTTCTTTTGAGAAGAAATGTGCCAAATTACGATCCTATAAACAATTACAAATCTTCATTCTTTTTTCATTTACGTTATTCCTTAAGCAAATTCCTAAGTCATAATTCTTTAATAAATACCTCTGGGTATGACTTTGCATACAGTTCTCTATTTTCAATCTAAAATAATAAAACAAGGGTTTCTTATTGGCTCACTGGTAGAGCCTCTTCCAAGTATGTGCAATGGACCAATACCAGAAACAAACAAACAAATAAAACCTGTAAAAACAGAATAAAACCAGTTGAAATTAAGTGAGACTAAATACTCTATAACTTCATTAGTTCTCACGATCATGCATTCTCAATGATCTCAAGTCACATGTGACTTTCTCTCCACTTTACTCAAGTAGTACCTCCCAAGATATTTGGTAATGACATGTATTATACTTTGAATATTGAGGGTTCAGATCAGTGTGTTTGAGGCCCTGTCCTCAGCCTATGACACTATTGGTAATAGTATATCCTATTAGTAAGAGGTAGAGCCTAGTGAAAGGAAGCTAGGTCATTGAACATGTCTCCCTCAAGAAGATACTTGTACACTGGCCTCTCCTCTTCCTCTTTGCTTGCCACTTGACCACCATAAGATACGCATCATTGTTCTACCACACATTTCCTCACCACAATGTGCTGCTTCACCACAGGTCCAAAACAACAGGGCCAAATCATCATGGACTGGAAGTTCTGATACTGTGAGCTAAAATAAACCTCACCTTTTAAAAGTGATTACCTCAGGTATATTTGTTACAGTGTTGAAAACATAGAATGGGCTAGCCTCCACACCTGACCTTTGAGTTTAATCAAGTCACCTCAGATCCATTACTGATTAAAATCTTAGAATAAAAAGACCATTAATATTCAAAGAGCCCAGATCTCTGATGGCAAATATCAGCAGTTGCCACCTTCAGAATCTGGGATGCAGGGAAGTTTGTGGCTATGGACTCTCACACTTTCAGTTAGAAGGACTCTATAGTGGCCTTCTCATAGAACATGGAGGTGAGGTACAGAGGGCAACATCCGGTGACTTCAGAAACCAGCCCTTTTTCCACCTGGGTCACTCTTTCCTTCCTCCCCGTGCACCTCTTGTCATGGAGGTGAGGTACAGAGGGCAACATCCGGTGACTTCAGAAACCAGCCTGGGTCTTTTTCCACCTGGGTCACTCTTTCCTTCCTCCCCGTGCACCTCTTGTCTTCCTCCTCTCCCTGCCCTCACTCCCTCTCCAACTTCACTTTCCCTTACTGTCTTCAGAAAGCATTCCCCATCCAGTTATCCAGCAAGATGTGTGGTTGGGGAGCTGTGTGTCTTTAGATGGGAGGCAGGCAGGTACAACGTAGGATGTGAAGTTCACAGGCAGATGCAGCTGCAGCATTGCAATGTCACTTCCAAAGGAATGAAACTTCTCAAAGTCTGGGTGTTTGACGACACGGTTCACAGACATCTTCTGAGTATGCTGTGTTTTCTGGTACAGCTGAGTATTCCCCAACAGAACCTGATAGTTCCCTGGGGCCTGGGATTTGCTGAAAGATAAAGGATTCCATCATCACCATCATCTCTAAGTGGGAAGATAACCCTGTCTTCCTGAACCCTCATTTATCACTGGCCACACTGCCTGGACTCCATACAGTTTGGCCTTTCCCTTTCTGACAGTCAAGTGGTAGTTTGAATGAGAATTCCCTTCACAGATTCATATATTTGAATTGTTTGGTTCCTAATTGGTAGAACTGTTTGGGAAGTATTGGAAGATGTGGCCTTATTGGAGGGGGTGTCACTTTGGTGGCTTTGAGATTTCAAAAGCCCAAGTAATTCCTAATTACATGCCCCCATCTGCCTTGTACCTGAAGCTCTTAGCTACTGCTTTACTGTCATGGCTTCCTGCCTGCCTGCTGCCATGCTCTCTGCTAGGATGATCATGGAATCTACTCCCCTAGAATAGTGAGCCTCAATTAACATCTTTTATAAGTTGCTTTGGACATAGTGTCTAATCACGGCAATAGAAATGTAACTGAGGGGCGGAGAGATGTCTCAGAGGTTAAAAGCACTGGCTGCTCTTCCAGAGGTCATGAGTTCAATTCCCAGCAGCCACATGGTGGTTCACAACCATTCATAATGAGATTTGTTGCCCTCTTCTGGCATGCAGTCATGCAGACATACATGGAGGCAGAATGTTGTATATATAATAAATAAATAAAATCTTTTAAAAAAAGAAAAAGAAATGTAACTAAGACAGAAGTTGATACCAGGGAATGGGCTATTGCTATCACAGGCCTGACCAAGGTAGTTTTAAAGAAAAATGTGTTATATTTGGGGAGTTTGGACTAGGAAAGTAGTTGAACACTTTAAGTATGGCTTAACTGTCCATCCTAGCAGGACCTTGGAAGACAATAGTGTTGAGAACAATGATGACTATGGAGGCCCAGTTCAAGAGGTTTCAGAGGGGAACAATATTAGCAATTGGCCTATAGACCATTCTTCTGTATTTTGGCAAAGAATGTGTCGACTTTTTGCCCTTGCCTTAAGTATCTTCTTGAGGCTAATTTAATTGCCAGAAATGTCAAGACAGCCTAATCCTCACTTTTTCACTTGGTTATTTGTGATCACTCTTACACAGATATACAATGAAAATGAACAAGTAGGGCAAAAATACAAAATACACAGTTTGAGAAGAAAAAGAACACCAGGAACTTTAATGTTGGAGACTTAGTTTATGCTTAAAGTCATAAGTAAAATGGGGAGAGGGTAGTAAAGGGAATGGTGTCCTCAGGGTAAGACCTCACCCAGCTATTCCTGCAACTTATGAAAAGAAAAAGGCTATGGAATTATTTGTTCCTAAAGAGAAACAACAAATCAAAGCTTATGCAAATGCATTTCAGATTTTATCCTAAACAGGAAGCAGAATTTGGTGGCATCAGCTATATGGTTCTGGCTTTAGAGGTGTGGAGGATACAGAAGTAAGAGGGTTGTGGATTCTTTCTCTGTTGTTAAGAAAAGCTGATGACATCAGGCATGTGGCAGGGGAATCTCTGCATGGAAGCCCAAAGAGGCTGTTATATGAAGCTGTGAAGGTGAAGCCTGGGTTGTGCTGGAGATTCCAGGATATTGGAGGAGCCAGAGCTGCAGTTGTGGGATACCTGTCAAGCAGAGTTGAATATGGTTAGTTGGACCAATTTAAAAGAGAAAGTTATGTTGCATTCAGAAAAACTGACATTGGACATAGAGCTTTATGATTTGGAGTTTACCCTGCTGGGTTTCAATCTTGCATTGGTCCAGTATTTCCTCACTGAAACCTTGTTCCTTCCTTTTTGAATGGTAATGCATTTTGGAATACCATTGCATGTTGGAAGAATGTAATTTGCTTTTTTATCTTATAGGGGTTACAATTAAGAGATTTCTCTGAATCTCAGAAGAAATTTTGGACTTTGAAATGATGTTGAGAATGAAAGACTTGGGTATTTCTGAAGTTGAACTAAATGCATTTTGGATTATGATATAGCCATGAGCCTACGGGAAACAGGGAGTAGAATGCAATGGTTTAAATGAAAATGACCTACATAGGCTCATATATTTGAATGTTGAGTCCCTAGTTGGTGGAACTGTTTAGAAAGGATTATGAGACGTGGCCTTGATGGAGGACATGTGTCATTGGGGAATGAGTTTTGAGGTTTCAAAAGCCTAATCCATTCCCAGTTATCTCTCTCTCCATTTTGTGCATGTGGATTGGTATTCAGCTACTGCTCCAGCACCATGCCTGCCTGCCTGCTGCCATGCTCCCTGCCATAATGGTCATGGATCTCTGAAACTGTGAGCCCCAGTAAACATTTTCTTTTAAAAGTTTCCTTGGTTCCCTGCCATAATGGTCATGGACCTCTGAAACTGTGAGCCCCAGTAAACATTTTCTTTTAAAAGTTTCCTTGGTCATAATGTCTCATCACGGCAATAGAAAAGTACTAAGACAGCAGCCTTCTTTCTGCAAGCTGATGGATATTCTACTCAAACCTCATGATAAAGTATTCCACATTATATCTTAGAACTGGAGGAACAAAGAATTCCAGTACTGAAAGGGTCCCTAATAGGGTCCTCAAATCAAACATTTTAAAATTTTACTTAAGGAAAATTATGGCCGAGTCCTAGTTTTATGATTTAAATCTTAAATATTATTGACCTAGGAGTTAGCCAATCACTAAAGGCATAGTCATCAGCCTGTGGTGCTGTCCAAAAAGGGTGGAACATTTATGAGGTGAAGCCTAGTAAAAAGAAGCTATGTCATTAGGATAATGTCCTTGAAGCCCCCCTACCCCCACTTCTTTTTGTTATCTTTGTTTCCTAGCTACCAAGAAAGACCAGGCCTCATCTACATATGTTCTTGCTGTGATGAACTGTGTTATCATAGATTCAAAGAAACAGACCAACTAACTTTGGACTGAAACCATGAGCCAAGATAGCCCTTATTCATTTTGTTCATTTTCTGAATTATTTGGTCACAGTGATGGAAATCTAACATATTTCCCTGCCCTCTTATTAAGGATTGCTTCTCCACTTGGTACTAAGCACTCACAAAGGATTTGTTAAATGCATACATGGGTGCATCAAAGGGAAGCTTTACTTGTTCTTGAATAAGACTGAGTAAACAGCCTATGTATACAGCTCCCACACTAGGTCCTCACCAATTCCACATACTCAATTTCTCCCTTTTGGTAGCCCTTACAGCTCCTTTGCACTTCTCTAAGACTGTAGCATCTTTATAGACTTATGTTCCTCGGGGCTGCCCTCTTCACATGCTTTGGCATGTCTCATCTGCATCATACTGATTGAGCTTGTTCCTTCTGAGGAAAAAGAAACCTTTACCTGAGATCTCCTTACATTCTGTTCCCTAAAGGGTCTCAGGTGACTGCAGCATAATTAGCTATTAACAGTTATTAATACTGTTAATAGTCTCAAAGCCAAAAAGCAAGGTTTCAATTCCCTGATCTGGATTGTATAATGCAGCATAATTAGCTATTAACAGTATTAAATTGGAGTCTCAAAGCCAAAAAGCAAGGTTTCAATTCCCTGATCTGGATTGTATAGCACCCAAACTCTCTGGGTCCCTCCATGCCTGAAGGAAGCTAGGCCCTCTGTCAGGCTTCAAAGAGGCAGAGAAGTGAGACTCCTGGCTGTCCATATCATTTGTTCAGGTTAGGGGTGGAGGTGCTGTACTTCCTATCCATACAGACTAATATGGCATAGTCACGACCACTGTTTTTCACAGGACTTAGTTTTACAAAAGTAAGAAATCACCTGGCTGCCTGTCATATATGGTCTTTGCCTAGGATCTGGCTTACAGGAAGAGTAAGGAACAATGAAATAAAATGAGGTCTACGATAGACAACAAAGCATGTTTCTTGGGAAACATCTGTGTTAGTAGGCAGACACAGAGGGGGGCGTGTAGGGATCCTTACAGAAACTGAGAATTAAATATAATGAGAACCACTACAGATCAAGGACAGTTTTATGGCATATGGGGCTAATCCAGGCAGAGAGAATTGTGGGTCAAGGAAGGACTAATGTGTATTTGGTGGAAGTAGACTGCCCCCAGAGAAAAGCCTAGAGGAGAAAAGCATGTTATCTCTAACTTTCTTTTCTCATTCTGCATTTTTATCACCACCTGGCCCCTCTATCTGGGGACTCCAGATAAGGCAAACTCACTTTTGGAAGCAGTGGGCTGTAGTAACCAACCAGTAGGAGTCAATGAGGACAGCTCCACAGAGATGCAAGTCCCGGTACAGCAGGCTGGCCTGCCACGGCCACTTGCCAGCCAATGAATCCCGGCCACCAAACACCTTCCCAACCATCTTCAGCTTCCCACATACTGTGGAGACACCCCCATACAATCTGTTAGACACACAATTCCTGAGAGGCAGAATAACACCCTAAGCAAGCTCCTCCTCCACCTCACAGACGGGAAGATCTTGGCGAAAGACAAGTGACCTGTGCAAGTGACTTCAGGCTACCCTGGTCTCTGCTTTCACTGGCCACCACCTTGGACATGATAAGCTCCACTGACAGTTCTGTGGGAGCAAGAGCTCAGGTACCTGGGAACATGGGATGGAGCAAATAAAAGGCTGGCCACAGACAGCAGCCTGTCCTTAAGTTACCCTGCCAAGCAGGTGGACAGAAGGGAGCCTGTATGACTTCATTTTTTTTAAATAGCACAGCTCTGTGCTTACTTTTCAAATCACAGAATTTTTAAGTCTCATAGGTTACTGATAACAGTTTCTCAATGTCATGACTTCTCAGTGATTGTCTCAACTTCAATCTGCCCAGTATCCCAGGGAGAGAAAATTACTCTGTGGTACTGATGAGTGACCTGGGACAAGTTGCTTTACATTTCTAAAAGGAGACTGGGTAAGGCTAGTAATGACAACCTTTTTTCTATGATTCATCTGGGAGGGTGTTACTGGACCCAGATCTTGACAGGCTGTCTATCTTCTTCCAAGAACTAGCCCCCAAGCCTCTATGAGCTTTGTTACCTTTGTCTCCTCTTGTAATCCCATGCTTTCTACTACCACCACTGGGTCAGCCCTAGACACCATTTTGGACCCATGGCATCACACCAGACTCTAGGGTGTAAAGAGTCAGTCCCAGAGGGGAACCTACATCAATTTGGTTGATATTTTCTTTGAGACCACCTGGTTCCAAGGGGAAGGCAAAAGAGGGACACAACTTCCGGTATGGCCTCCACCCATCGCTCGCCCACTGCCTCTCAAACGGACCTTGTGCTCCGCTCACATAATCCTGGTGCCCGCTGGCGGACAGTTCCAAACCTTGCTGTAGCCCTGGTCTCCCTGGTGCTACTCCAGGAACCTTTGAGGGGCTGGGGACACCAGGCTTCAGGACAGGGCCAGCCTTGGGGCCCAGGGGCAGCAGTAACAGCAGGGGCCAGAGTAGGAAACTGAGCCCACAGAGGATCCTCACCACCCTAGTGCCCATCCCAGATGCCAGAACCTGTGGGGAAGTTGTCCCTGACCTGACCCTGACCCCGCTCTGACCCGGACCTGACCCCTGCTGGGACAGTTCTTGACCTTGTCTTGAGACAGGATCCCAAGTCCTGCCCTGACAGCTTTCTTACCCGCTATCACCCAATCCGGACTCCTCTAAGACCACAGTGACCCTGGCTCTAATTCCTGCCATTCCCAGCCTCTAACCCATGTGTAGCATAGCCAGCAACAGTGCAATGGAAAATTCCTGCTCATCGATGAGCAAAAGATAGGGAGTCCAACCACAGAAGATAGGAAATGATATGAAAAGGAAATTCAGGCTGGTAATGTAGCTCAGTAGTAGAAATAGGGAGATGAAGGGGAAGCTGGTGGGTTCTCTAGGACTTCCCCATACACCCCATAAACCCCATACACACAGAGAAAGTTAATTCGTGGAAGAAGGAAGAACTAAAAGATCCACACATAGGGAAAGCGTAATTAGCTGTCAAGAAAATAAAACATAAAAAGTATCATTTCTAGCCACCAAATTGCAAGCATGTAATGATACTTACAGTTTTCCAGTATTTTGTTAATCAGCAATTCTTTACAGTGGTGGTTGGCATCTTAATCTCAAAGACATACCCCACATGTGATCTGAAATTATGTGAGAACCTGACATTTCACTTTTATTTATATCTGTCTTCATCACTCAGACATAAACTTCAGACTATAGAAATTTCTGTTTACCAATGTCTTGGGGAGAAGGGAATGTAATGTAAATAAACTGGCTGAGGCCCTTAATGTAGATCTAGCCACTGTCAGTCAGATCTTAGAGACTTCCCAGCTAGATCTCTAAATTGAGCTGTAAACATCTCACTCCCTGTCTGCCCAGTCATATCTGTCTGTCTGTTAACTAGTGGCAAGCTCCCCTCTGTTCTTCAGATATACTTTATTTGTACAAGATACAACCACCTGTCTCCTTTTTTGTCTAAAAACAAAAGTTATAACTAATATAAGAAAAACTATATACAATAAGTACAATAATTATACATACATATATATATATATATATATATATATATATATACAGGCAGTAAGTATATAAAAATGTCTAGTTCATTAGTATTTAGCAAATTCAGAGAAAGTATTCCATTATCTATCCTATGTTGAGTCCAAAGTCTTGTACTCAATTTACTTTTTATTCTAATTTGCATTATCAAATTATCTTTTAATGTCTCTCAAGCGTTTACACTTTACACATCTTTAGTAAGTTTCTTTTCTGAGTCTGATAACAATGAAAACTGTAGCTATACTATCTAGTCTTCAATTCCCTCAGAGACATAAGAAGGGATTAATATTAACTGAGTAAACAGGAAGTGCAAGCAAGCAACTTGCAAAAAATGTGAGAAATGACAGAAACGGCTGACTACCTGGACAGTACTCAAGGTTCTGGTGCATGTATCTTCTGCCCACAGGCCTAGCATATCTAACAGACATTTCTGTGAAGCAGGATATTCTGAAGGATTGTCTCACCTTGTCTTGGCCAGGTTTGCAGTGACTTTTTTGGTGTTGTTTTTGCCCAGTTTGGACAGCATACTGTCAGCAGTCAAGACAAGGGCACATTCTTGCCCAGTGGCTTACTTTTGCCACAAAGAAAGTCAACTCTGTCTGGGCTTTGGTGGCGCACACCTTTAATCCCAGCACTTGGGAGGAAGAGGCAGG